GTGAGTACCCCCCTTCATGTTTACGGGCTCACCATAGCCCGTGCTACTGGGAATTTTACATTCCAGGTAGCGAATCTTTAACAACAACAACACTCATCATTAATTAAGTCCACTTCGGGCTCACCATAGCCCGTGCTACTGGGAATTTTTGTTCCGGGTAGCGAATCTTAAACAATAACAACAACAACAACCCCCTTTATTGGTTTTACGGGCTATTCATGCCCGTGCCACCTCTTGGGTGGCTTAATTTTCATCAATCAATCCCTTCATTGGTTCTCCTAGGTGTACCTGCCCTGTAAACCCCACTTGTGTACGTAGTTGGTACTGACGGCCGGTACACATAACAGTATACCTATGTGCTTTATCTAGGTAGTGTACCTTGGCGCTACACCTAGGGAGTATATCTTGGTATTACACCCAAGAAGTACAACTGGGATATACACCCAGGAAGTATACATGGGAAGTATACCCAGGAGACACTCCTAGGATGTACACCACAGCAGATTATCCTAAGATGTACATCTTGCCAGTACACCTAGGAACTATACCCCTCCATTAGACATTATATTACTAGACATATTTAATATATCTACCCCAGGGCAGTATATCATGGCTGTCAGCACATGCACCTGAACGCTACATAGGCCTATCATTCTTATATTTATGATAATTATAACACCTTTGACACCTGTATTGCTCGAGTGGCCCGCCACACTGTGTATGTAAGTGTGTGTTTACATCCTGAATATGGAAGCCAGAGAGCGCTGACTGCAGGCTGTTAGCCAATCAAAACACAGAAATTGGATCCAAGAAACTTTTATTTTGTGAATTAGAAACATATGTGGAAGGTCTGTCACGTGAGGGTGAGGCTGGGGAAGAGGTTATAGGGGGAGAGAAGGAGAGGGTTAGGGTGAGGATCGCAAGGGAGGGAGGGAAGGAGGTAGGTAGGGGGGCTTTTGGGTGGAGGGGTGGGGGGGGGGGAACTAGACACACACATCAACCAATATTTGGGAAACGATATAGGAACGTATGGGGCAGACATAGGAAGGTGTGGTGCAGATATAGGAAGGTATGGTGCAGATATAGGAAGGTATGGTGCAGATATAGGAAGGTATGGTGCAGATATAGGAAGGTATGGTGCAGGTTACGGCGTGGCGGGGCGTTGTGAAGAGCGCCATCATGGCTGCTCAGCGCTGCCTCGCTACACTTCGTCTCCTTCGTTAGCGACCTGTCCTCTCCCGTCTAGGGTGTGTGTGTGTGTGTGTGTGTGTGTGTGTGTGTGTGTGTGTGTGTGTGTGTGTGTGTGTGTGTGTGTGTGTGTGTGTGTGTTGACGGGGTGCGCGACGGGGCCTGGACGAGCTCCTGCCACCTCCTGCTGCACCAGGTCAGAGGGGGGAGGGGGTATATTCTGCGGCACTTGTAGTTGAAAAGTAGGGCACGTTCTGGTTGGCTTTCCTTGCGCGATGATTGGTGGACGACAGAACTGTTGGTGAGATGATTGGTGGACGGCAGAACTGTTGGTGTGATGATTGGTGGACGGCAGAACTGCTGGTGATGATTGGTGGTTGGTGCGATGGCTTGGTCCACAGACAACCAAAACAAGTTTCCATGGGTGTCTTGGCTCCCAGCACAGAGGCAAGAAAGTGTCCCTGGTTGGCTTGATCTACAGAAACAAAGAGCACTAGGCAATCCAAAGTGGCTTGGTCCACTGGCTTAGAGCCAAGTAGACGTCCCAAAGTGGCTTGGTCCACTGGCTTAGAGCCAAGTAGACGTCCCAAAGTGGCTTGGTCCACTGGCTTAGAGCCAAGTAGACGTCCCAAAGTGGCTTGGTCCACTGGCTTAGAGCCAAGTAGACGTCCCAAAGTGGGCTGCTGCGTCTTGTGGACCCACTTGATGTAGTTCTTGAGACTAGTTCGATGCACAATCTTAAATATAAATGTTCAGAAAAAAATGGATGAAAAGTCATTGCATTAAACTACTGTTGGTAGAAAGTCAGGGCTGAAGAGCAGACGCACAACCCTACAAGCACGTCTAGGTTAATACTAGACAACACCACACGGTGTTAAATAATAAATAACATACTCTAAATACACACTTGTCACAAACCAAATACACAAAATTGTGTATTTTTAGAATGATATTTTTCACTGGATATTTGCACTAATTAATACAAATACTGAACATCTGATAGAGTGTGCAAGAAGTTATCACAAGATCAAATATATATTTGTACCAAAAGCAATTTAGATAACATAATGGATGAAATTGGCCGATAAATAATTTTTTTGCGTGGTTCGCCAAAGATGACGTAGTTATTGAATGTCCAGAGTCTTGTGAAGGAGTGAATATAGCGTGAAGTGTCTGTCTGATTATGGTAGGGGTTACGAGGCCGGGTGATCTGTCCAGAGTGTCTAGCACTCATCACCTCTTGTGTCGTGGCTGTCTTGAGTGAAGGAAGGAGTCTGCCGTGGCTGTCTTGAGTGAAGGAAGGAGTCTGCCGTGGCTGTCTTGAGTGAAGGAAGGAGTCTGCCGTGTCTGCCTTGAGTGAAGGAAGGAGTCTGCCGTGTCTGCCTTGAGTGAAGGAGGGAGTCTGCCGTGGCTGCCTTGAGTGAAGGAGGGAGTCTACCGTGTCTGCCTTGAGTGAAGGAAGGAGTCTGCCGTGTCTGCCTTGAGTGAAGGAAGGAGTCTACCGTGGCTGCCTTGAGTGAAGGAAGGAGTCTGCCGTGGCTGCCTTGAGTGAAGGAGGGAGTCTACCGTGGCTGCCTTGAGTGAAGGAAGGAGTCTGCCGTGGCTGCCTTGAGTGAAGGAAGGAGTCTGCCGTGTCTGCCTTGAGTGAAGGAAGGAGTCTGTCGTGGCTGCCTTGAGTGAAGGAAGGAGTCTGCCGTGTCTGGCTTGAGTGAAGGAAGGAGTCTGCCGTGTCTGCCTTGAGTGAAGGAGGGAGTCTACCGTGGCTGCCTTGAGTGAAGGAAGGAGTCTGCCGTGTCTGCCTTGAATGAAGGAAGGAGTCTGCCGTGGCTGCCTTGAGTGAAGGAAGGAGTCTGCCGTGGCTGCCTTGAGTGAAGGAGGGAGTCTACCGTGGCTGCCTTGAGTGAAGGAAGGAGTCTACCGTGGCTGCCTTGAGTGAAGGAAGGAGTCTGCCGTGGCTGCCTTGAGTGAAGGAGGGAGTCTACCGTGGCTGCCTTGAGTGAAGGAGGGGAGGCTTGGGGGGACTGACACTGTGGTGGGGCAGCTGTAGTAAGGTGGGGGTGCTGAGTGTGGGGGGGGAGACACCCCCCCCCGTCTCCTCTACCAAAACAAGAACAAAAAGTCTTAGCAACTTGGGTTATCTTCACTCCGGAAGGCAAAACAGCTCGCTAATTACCTCCCGGATGTAATGACATTTCAACTTGTGTGTCTCGCCGAGACCCACAAGACGCAGTGGACGTGTCGAGGACAGTGTAGCACAAGGGCCAATCACAGGCCAGCTCGGGACTCATTCCTCAACCAGTCCTCGCACTAAGTTCATTCCATCCAGCGGCCGACCCCAAAGACACTTCATCAATATGACTGCTGTTCATTCCAAATAGGATTTTTTTTAAATATAAATTAATATTATTATATATTAGCTTACTGTGCATATTTAGGCATTGGTTAGGTTAGGCGTTTAGGTTCTGTTGGCGATTATTTGTATTTGTAGTGCATCCATTATGTAGTGCGTTCGAACACTTCCGGAACAAGTGCTTCACTGACGAATTTTGTTCGAACCACAACGCTGTAAATGCTTCACTCACGTACTACAAATACCAATAATCGCCAACAGACCCTAAACACCTAACCTAACCTATGCCTATATATGCACAATACACTAATATATTATAACATTAATTTATATATAAGAAAATTCCCGTTTTGAATCCACAGCATGTTAAAATTTATGAATGTGTCTGTGGGGTCGACCGCTGGATGTAATGGACTTGAGTGGAGGACGGGTCGCGTCATCAGCTGTGAGTCGTGTGTAAACCGTTCTTCATTCATAAACAGAGGGTTTGGCGGGTGTATGGGATGGCCTTTGGCCTTTGTTTATGAGGACGGGCTGCGTTCCTTTAGCACGATGAGACCTCATACAATGAGGAAGATCTGCGTTTAGTGAGGAAGATCAGCGCGCCTTCACTGCTTATAAGTGAACCTTGCAGTGTACTAGTAGGCTTAGGACTGCATTGTTCAGCCCTAGTAGTGCATATCTTGCAACTAGTAGTGCATATCTTGCAACTAGTAGTGCATATCTTGCAACTAATAGTGCATATCTTGCAACTAGTAGTGCATATCTTGCAACTAGTAGTGCATATCTTGCAACTAGTAGTGCATATCTTGCAACTAGTAGTGCATATCTTGCAACTAGTAGTGTATATCTTGCAACTAGTAGTGTATATCTTGCAACTAGTAGTGCATATCTTGCAACTAGTAATGCATAGTGTAGCTGCTGTGGTGCACAGACTAACCCATGTTGACCATAGTCCACCAGTGGTAATGTGTTGACCAAGCCTATAGCAAGGCCTAGCTGGTGGTGAAGAATGTACTGGGGGAAGTGTATATGTACTGGGTGCACAGTCTTGCCCTAGACACCATGATGGTGCCAGGGGGCTCCACCACTACACAGGTTACACAGGTAACCAGGTCACCTTGGGTCGTGCACCTGTTGTGGGTTTACACTCTCTGTATTTGACTTCAACATTTGTAGTGACAAGGGTGTGGAGCTGGCGAGTGTGTTGGTGTTTGGTGTAGATGGGGTGTGTGGCTGTGTGTGTGAGGGGGGGGAGGTGTATGCTGGGGTGGTGTGTGTGTGGGGTGTTTGTGTATGTTGTGGTATGTGTGTGTGTGTGACGGGGGGGGGGGATTAGATGCGGAAAGTGTGTACTTTCTGTTATCATGGGTAGGAATAATGGTAGTTATCTCCCACACCCACAGTGATAACCCACAGCGATAACCCATGCTTCAATAATTACTGGTTGCCTCATCGAGGA